TATATATATATATATATATATATTTGTATATTGCTTTGACAGAAGAAATGTATTATGATCTCATCTGAGTCCGTGTAAATCTAGAATGACTGTACTGAAAGCACTGAAGTCATATTGGTGTAAAACCAATGAGAGATCATATTCAAGCTCAAGATCTTCAGCTAGCAGAGGAGAGTAGTGTAACGTCACTATTTTGCCATCTAGTGGTAAATACTGGGTTATCCAAAATATACTACAACTGTAAGGAAAATAAAGCAATACAAACAGTATTAAAATAATTGCCAATCAGAATGAAATATTAAACCCAAAATGAGCATGCATACAGAATGTATGTAGCATATGATAGCATAAATGTCCAGGAGTGCCATTTTTATTACTTTTTATGTATAAAAGTCACAGCACCTTTGCTTGCACAACAGAATTCCAAATAGCTAGAGCATGAAGAACTCACCTAAATCCTACCAATCTACTTTGTTCCACCTCTCTAGCATGCTTTAACACAATGAGGGGCAACCTCGGGTAGTGAGTGGACTGCACAAGTGGCCCTCCTTCACCTCAGTGGGCTGCAAGAATATTGTAACTAAGACGGTCTCCCAGGATAGGGTAGTTTTGCTAACTGTGCTTACCTACCTAGCATTTGCAAGGTGTGCTGTTTGAACTGTAACAACACTTTGATTGGATACAGAAAGCACACAGGTCTCACAATGTTGTGTGCAATCAGCACATACTTCACTTCACATGCACTTGCTTTAAGTGTGTGTCACTTTTTAAATATTGGTAGAAAAAAACACTCAGCAGATGAAAAGCAGTGTAATCCGGCAATCCTGTGCATGAGCAACAGTAAACAAAACGTCTCATGGGCCACTCACAGAACCACAATGGGCCACATGAGTCCCTTAGGTTGCTCACTGCTGCTTTAGTAGCTATAACTAAATACTATCAATGGCTACGTCTACACTGGCATGAATTTCCGAAAATGCTTTTAACGGAAAAGTTTTCCGTTAACAGCATTTTTGGAAAAGCGCGTCTAGATTGGCAGGATGCTTTTCTGCAAAAGCACTTTTTGCGGAAAAGCGTCTGTGGCCAAACTAGACGCGGTTTTCCGCAAAAAAGCCCCGATCGCCTTTTTCACGATCGGGGCTTTTTTGCGGAAAAGAGTACTATGCTGTCTACATTGGCCCTTTTGCGCAAAAGTCTTTCGGAAAAAGACTTTTGCCTGAACGGGAGCAGCATAGTTTTTCTGGAAAAGCACTGATGATTTTACATGAGATCGTCAGTGCTTTTCCGGAAATTCAAGCGGACAGTGTAGACACCTGGCAAGTTTTTCTGCAAAAGCAGATGATTTTGAGGAAAAACTTGCCAGTCTAGACACAGCCAATTTATTTAAATTAACTGAAGAGAGGGCACCATGTCTGTAATAATCAACCAGATGGAAAAGTTATGTGGAACGAGTATTGATATCAAAACGTTAGCAAATAGTTTTTGTCTGGGTTTTTCTTTTTCTTCTAAGTTGTTTTAACTTTTCACTGTTATTGTATTATGGTAGCAGCTAAAACCTCCAAGCAAAGCTCCACAGTGCTACACAGCTAAAACAAACACATAACAAAAACAGTCTGTTTCCTAAAGAGCTCACAGGTTAAGTAACTTTTATGCATCTCTGCCATATTTATATAAGCATATATTTGGAATTAGAAGGGTTTTGTTTTGTTTTTCTACAAAGAACATTGGACTCCAATTTCAGACTTCGAATGAACACTTTCTCAAAATTAAAAAGCCAGTGAGAAGATTCTTGATATCCACAATAATAAAGTTGTAGAACTGCCTAGAAGCCAAAGATGACTGGGAATAGAAGACATCTATAGTGGGTGGAAACAACTATCATTAAACATTGAAAAGACAGAAGTGGGTGGAGCTGTGAACTGCTCCTCTTCTAATTACCAGACTCCAGGACTGAGGCTGTACAGTTCCCAACTTCCTGCTCTGCAGTTGCAGGTTCACAGTATGTTAGAGGAGGACTGCATGGCTGAAACTGTGACTATCCACCTGCTTTCTGAGGGAACAGAGTCCAGCTGTAGAAAAAGATTCCAAAACTGGAGACTCTGCTCACCAATTGAGAGCAAGAATGTGTATGTGTAGAAGCTGAGTTGTCTTAGGCTCAAGCCCATTCTGTAGTGGAGGGTCTGTGGGTGAGAATGCGGCCAGGCTCCTCTGTGTCCAGTTAGAATCTAGAGCATTATTCCTCAGGAAGACAAAGGAGCTGGATCTTCTACCTGTTCGCCTGCATTTTTAACCTGATTTTGAGGTCTTGGAGAGCATTGCTACACTATGGAGAAGACTGACCCTCAGGAGGTCAATTTAATGTTCAAGTTAGCAGGTCTAGCGTAGATTCCCAAATTGAACGCTGAAGGCAGCCCCCACCGGGGTCAGGGAAGCTGGTGGGAGTGTGTGCTCCCACCAGCCTCCTGCAGTGTAGACGCTGCAGTGGCTCAGTTTAAGATAAGCTGATCCCAGCTAGCATTTCGTGTAGCTGGATGGAGTACCTTAAGCCAATCTGCCTGGTCTAGTGCACTCAGGGCCTAAGATAGTTGGGGGCTGGCTCTTCTCTTCCTTTCCTCCTGGGCACTAGCTCAATTAGGAGCTCTTTAATCATCTGAAATTAAAAAAAAAATCCTACAAAGAGGGGAAACATGGCTGAATAGTTAAGGAAGAAAGGATAGTACAAGCATGGCAAAACAAAATCAGACAGGGTAAGGCACAAAAGGGGTTACATGTAGCAAGGGGCATACACAAGGCAATACAATGAGAGGCTTGACATACATCGGGAGCAAGAGAAAGATGAAGGAAACTATAGGTCACGTGCTTAACAAGGAAGGCGAGCTAATAACTGAGGGCATCCAGATACGTGAGGCGCTGAATGCTCAGACCCAGTCCATAGCCAACATCTTGGCTGCAGAAGATTCGCCAGGAGCTGAGCTTGCAGGGCTGAGCGCTAGGCTCTGAGCTGCAGCAGCTCCGCGAGGCAGAAACGCTCGGGCCGTTGAAGGAGTAAGAGATCCGGAGCGACTAGGCTCCCACCCCTGCAGCGGGCTCCCTTAATGACGCCCGACTGGAGAGGCTCCCGCTTTGCGCGCTCAGGGGGCTCCCCGGAGGCTGCAGGCGGCGGCGCGCCGGGCTCAGCCCGCTAGGGGGCGGGAAGGCAGCTGCTTGCCGCGTCACTGGGCCCAGGCGAAGGGGCGGGGCCGGCGAGCTCAGCCCCGCCTCCTCTCCCCGGGACTCTTCTGCTGCAGCCGGAGCCGCTGCTCAGCTGAGCGGTGCAGTGCGGCGAACTGAGCCCGGCTGTGCTGGGAGGCGGAGCCGCTGGGGCCTGGTAAGAGGCGCTGGGGGGGCAGCGGCGCCCAGGGGAGTCGCTGCGCTCGCTTGTCTTTCCGGGGGTGCCCCCGGGGGGTGCCGCCCTGCTCCCGGGCGGCTCCAGCTTCCCCGCGGCAAGGGGGCGGGCAGCAGCGGGGGCCGCCCTGCCCGCGTGGTGGGGGGCGGCGTGCGGGTGCGGCACAGCTCCCAGCCCCGCTGGCGAGAGGGGAGGGGCAGGGCAGACGCGGCGGCTGCCCACGGGAAGGGGTCGGTTCCGCATTCCCGCGGCCCATCGCCGCCGAGCTGCAGCCCTTCCCTGCGCCCGGCTGCACCCGCGGCTGGCTGGAGAGCGGGTAGCCCTCGCCCGTCGGGGGCCCACGCCCGCCCTGCTTCCCACCTCCTTGGACTGTTTTCCCAGAGCCAAGAGCGACTCGTGCACCCCAAGAGGGTTGTGCGAGAGCCGAGTCTGGGTGGAGGCAGTGTTTGTCATGTGCGGGTGTGCCCTTGTGCTTCGTGCTCCCACAGAGGGAGGGTTAACGCTCAGGAAGGAAACGCCTCCCTCCCGCCCCTTCTGTCTTCCTTTGCAGCCCTGCAGTTGTTGCAGTGTCAAAGAATTGCAGCATTTCTTTCTTCTGACACTGAGCAAAGAATTTCTTGGAGCAGTGATACCCCCAAACTGTTATTGTATATATCCCTCTTTAGGGATTGTCTACCTGGACACGTAGAGGGTGTAGAGGGTGCCTTCACTATGCGTAGGCAACGATCAATCCAGCAGGGGTAGATTTTTTTTTTTTACACTATAAATTGATGCTGAGTGCTCACCTGTTGACTCCAGTATGCCACCAGAATGAGAAGTGTAGGTGGGGTAGATATGAGTTCAACTTACTGTGGTGAGCATACAACAATAAGTAGATCTAGGTATGTCGCTGTCAGCTACGTTATGTTTATGTAGCTGAAGTTGCACAGCTTGGATCCATGGCCTGCTGTAGGGTAGATAGATTGGGCCCTAGTTTGCAGCAAGTTGAGACATAAGCTTGTCTTGCATTAAGAGACTACTGTGTGCTGCCAGGCACTCATGGGTTCCTTGTCTACTTCCATTTCAAAGTGGGATAGAGCAAAGTGCAGAGCTGAGTTTTTGATATGCTGCTGTTTGACAAGCAGGTATTGTAGAGCTTTTGGGAAGTTGCTGGACTGCTTGTGTGCAGAAAGTTAGTGTATGAAAACCTGAAAGTGTGAATCCTTGATCTTTTTTTGTGCTCGTTATCACATCCACTACTTCACTGTTTTAAAGCATGTGTATATATGTTTGTGTAAATAAGTTAATGTGCCCTCTGAGTCTGCTGAGTCTGCTATCACGTAGCTACATGCAACATAACAAAAATGTTTGTTTTTACATGTGGATCTTGAATACATTAGTAGATTCTAATGCTGGAAGTGACCCAATTGTGATCACCTAGAAATCAACACACCCCATAGAATTTCCCCAAAATAATCCCTAGAACATACAGTATCTTGTAAATTTAGAAAAACATCCAGTCTTGAGTTTTAGATTGTTAATGATGACCTTTGATAAACTGTTCCAGTTGTAATTACTCAGTGTTAATGTATGCTTTATTTCCTGTCTGAATGTTTCCACCTTCAACTTCTAACCATTGAATTAAGTTGCTCTCTTTACTTGAATGAGGATCTTATTATTAAATACTTGTTTCTCCATGTAAGTACTGAAACTGTAACCGGGTCATCCTTTACTCTTGATAAACTCCTTGAAAGGAGTTCTAAGTACGGTAGGCGTACTCTAGTCCCTTAATGCTACCCTGAAAAGTAAGAACCCTTAAACAAGTGGTCCTGTAGCACTTTAGAAATTAACCCAAAAAAAAGTATCATGAGCTTTTGTGAGCACAACGCTCTTTTTCAGATGAGTGGAGCTAGAGGGGGGGGTTCCAACCTGGGGCAGAGGATTGGGGTGCAGGAGAAGGAGTAGGGTATGAGCTCCAGCCAGGCAGTCCTTACTTCTGGGCAGCAGCACAGCAGGACTCAGGCAGGCTCCTTACTTTTCCTGATTCCGTGTGCCTCCCAGAAGCGGCTGCCATGTTCTGCTCCTAGGTGGCGGAGCTAGAGAGCTCTGTGTGCTTCCTGTGCCCACAGGTACTGCCCCCATAGCTCTCCTTAGATGCAGTTCTTGCTCAGTGGGAGCTGCGGAGCTGGCACTGAGGATGAGGGCAGTGCACACAGCTTCCCTGATAGCTCCTAAGGGCCGCAGAGACATGCCAGCCGCTTCCAGGAGATGCAGAGAGCCAGGACAGGTATGCAGCCTGCCTTACCTCCTGTGCCATTAACTAGACTTTTATGGCCTGGTCAGCAGTAAGGATGTAAAATCCTGTTTAATTGGTTAAATGCTTAAATGTGATGCTTAACGGGTTAAAGGGGTGGGGAGCAGGGAGGCCAAAAGAACTCATCTTAATTCTATTTTCTGATATTTCTTACAAACTAAAATGCATCACAAATCAAGGCTGGGCAACAGTTTTTGATGTGGGGCTGTTCCTAAGAATTTGGTAAGTGGTCAAGTGCTGCACTCCTAATATTAAGGGAGGAGGTGCAGGGTATGGAATGGAGGTTGGATGAGGGTAGGTGAGTGGGGCATAGGATCTGGGAGAGGGCATGGTTGCAGGAGGGCATTATAACATGGAGGTGGCAGTGCAGGATCTAGGAGAGGCTTGTGACCTGGGACGAGGGTGCAGGAGGGGGGTGTAAGGATTTGGGTTGTGACTTAGGGCAAGGGGAAGGGCTGTGACCTGGGGCAGGTGGGGGCGGGGGGAACATGGTCTGGGAGAGAGATACGTATGCAGGATCAGGGGGGCAGAAGGTATGGTTTGTGACCTGGGGCAGGGAGCTGGGATATGGGAGAGGGTGTAGGCTTGCCTTGAGCATCTCCCAGCTAGCAGCCCAGCAGGACCCTCAGAGGAGCTCCATGCCTGTCTTGTGCTCTGCATGCCACTCCAAGCAGCCAGGTGGAGGCCATGTGTGTCTGTACACCACATGCCCCATGGAGGGGGGCCCTTCACACACTATCTGCCGCACAAGCATAGTTCAGGCAGTTCTCATTGGCCACTTTCCAGGCATTGTGAACTCAAATGGCGGTCAACTGTGCTGGGTTTGGGCAGCCCCAGCCACAGAGGGGCCGGCAGTATGGGGGGGCAGGACCTCACTGCTGGCCTGAGGTCAGGCAGTGAATCAGGTGGTAGGCCCTCATTTTAAAATGGTTAACTGGCTAAGTGCTAGCATCTAACAAGTTAGATGTTTTAACATCACTACTGGTTGGACCTCCCTGGTTTGGACCCTTGGGTCCTGACCTGCCCTGAATGAGGGAATTTGCCGGATCTGGGAGTTCCCCTTCCACCAGCCTCCTAGGGTGCTGCCGCTCTCTCTGGCTGGCTCCTCTCTAGCCCTGCTGCTTCCGAGCTTTAGCTTGGCTCCAGTCCACCTGTCAGCCATTTGGGAGTCTTGAGGGATAGAGTTTGCTAGCTTGTGCTCTTTGGAGGTGGGGCTCCCAGGTCTAATGGATGGGGCTCCCAACTGGCTCATGTTCGTGGGTACCAGGGCTCTCTGGTTCAGCAACATCCCTGGTCCTGCCAGACCAGAGAACCTGGATTTAGGAGGTTAAATCTGTAGTATACACTGCTTCTCTGAGTGTGTGTGGTGTGTGTTTTTTTTTTTTTTTTTTTTTTTAAATGCTTAAGGGTTCCAAACAGGAATTAGGAGCCTGTAGTACAAGCCACAGTATGGGGACTTAAGTTACAAGGTATTTACGATTGTGCCAATATCGGACACAGTTTACACTTGTAGAATACTTTATGCATCGTGAAAATCATCTTGTAAAAGATGCATGTAAGGCTTGTTTTGAAGAGATGCCTTTTTCCCCCAAAATTATTGTAACTAGCTTTGAGAAATATTTTACATACAAAAACTTTTCTATAGTGAGAAATACTGTCTTTTAGACAGTTAAAATACTATTTGACAGGCTATGTCAGAAAAATCATATTACACATAAAATTACAGTAGTTATGGTCTCTTGAGACAAAAGGCTAAAGAATAAAAGGCTATATTGCTCAATCCCTTAATATGCATATTATGGACAAGCAGTCACAACCAGTGCTCCCTGTAAGTTGAATGGCAGCACAGCTTCACAGGTGGTTAATCAGCCCAGCCCAGTTAGTCAGCTCCATGCAGGGAGCCCTGAGCCTCTGACAGGGTGGGACTGATTAATCACCTCTGAAGCTAAGCTGTGCTGCCCTACCGGGCAGCTTACAGGGAACAGTGGTCACAACGCCACAGTTAAGGTTGCAGTAGAGACTTGAATATTCACAGGGAATCAGTGTGAATAGAACGTAAAGAAAATAAGTGTAATTCTTTTGATTGTGTCCATTTTTTCAGTAACTTGTGAGTTTCATTAGTAGTGTGGTTAGGAAAAATCTTGTATTAAACTTGATAGATGTGACCAAACTGTTCTCATAGGAAGCTGTTCATGTGATGTAATTGATTCATGCATTCCAAGGCCAGAAGTGACCAATGTGATCATTTACCCTGACTTTCTGATTGACAGTCATAGTCTCAATCTCAGGCCTACCTCATGAATGTTAACCCACTACATTTTATTATTGTAACTGGCTCTGAAATGGCTTCACAACCTCACTTTAGTTTAAGAAAGCATTCTGTAAACAGCTTTTTCAAGACCTTTGGTAAAAGGCTAAATAGGACTGGATGGTGTTTCATTTTGCTAGTGTTATTGGTCTTTGTGTGATCTAAGATGAAAAAATGTATTGCGAACTTGGAGAATTACTGGTGTATAACTACTTTCTTTTTATTTTTAGGTGACTTTGCTCGACGAAATTGTCTGAACTTCTTGCACCTTGATCCTAGTGGACAATCTGTTCAGCCATGTCGTACAGTGCAGGCATTGTGGGGGACCCTACCAAGCTAGCTCAATATATAACTTCTAATATCCAGAAGATCACCCAGTGTGGTAAGTTGAATTAATACATGTTCTTTTAAAATTGTCTAATTTGTATATTATTTCTCCCTTCTAGAAAAGTCCCTGTATCAATAAGGGGGAGAGAAAAAAATGCTAGATATTTTAAGGGTGATTTCCATATTTGGATTAAAAAAATTAAACCGACACTGTTCTTCTAATGTTGTTAAAGCACACATGCACTATTGTGTGTTATACTTCTAAAAATGCCTTTATGCACTAACTCTTGCTGCTGAGTCAGTTAGAGACTGCTGTTTTCGGTCTTGTCCTGGGGATGAGTCCATCAACAAAAGTAACCGTTTATGATTGTGTATTTTGTGCTAAGTATCACCACTCAGTAGGATCATCTACTCATTTCATGTAGACCATGTCCTTTGTCATTCTGCAGTGTCAGGAAACTTAAAAGGGACAGAAAGAAGGGGAGTGATCGTTTCATCTACTCTGTATTACTATCACCGAACTCATATTCTCAGCTCCTCTCTCCTTTTTTCCTAGGTTATAATAAACATAAAACTGAATGTAGTATTTGGAGTTAGAATTCTGTATTTCAAGTATCTTTTTCCCGCCATAACTTGCATATTATTCTTCATTACTTGGTTTGTTCCATAGATGGACCGTTATTCCCAAGCTGAAACTCTGTTAGGCTTCAGTAGATTTTTATGACAGAATAACATATTCCCCTGGCCACAATTTGTAGCACACAGATTCTTAATGTTGTAATTGCAGCATCAGTAATGAGTGAAATTATAATACAGACAAAAATCAAATCTAGGTGACTGGTTCAAAGGAAAATGAAAAACAACAGAAAAGGGAACAAAGTTGAACCTCTTCCTTGGTTATCAAACAACAAATCTGTAAAACATGTTTTACTCCCATAAATAACTCAAGCAGTTTCTCAGGTGCTTCCTCGCAAATAGCAACCAACCCTTCTGTGTGTCTATAAAATAGAAAATAATAGTGTAGAGAGTAACCCTCTGGGGGAAGCTGCGGATGTTGATTGAAACTAAAGCACTTAAAACTGTGACCAAAATGTACAAATAACTGCCTACTCATTTACTTGGTCACCTAAATAAAAGTGGCTGGATTTATTTTTTCCAGAGATTCGTATATACCTGTGGTTTTCATGGTGACTTCAATGGGTTTTGTGTCCTTCATGAGAAGAACGGGGGGGGAGGAAGGGGCGGAAGAAGCTCTGGTTCTGTGGTTAGCTTAGAACTATGAGTTTGCTGGTAAGTTAAAATTCATAGCGGTCAGAGTGAGAGTGATAATAAAAAGTAGAACTAGGGATGTAAATGATTAACTGATAAGCCTCCTTGCCTGCATATTATTGGGGATGCTTGAGTGCAGCCTGCGGAGCTGCTAGGATTTTTATTGGTTACATGGTTACAAATGACGTCTTACATCTCTAGTGAGAAGGCTTTGGTGTGGAAGTAACTATGAGGAATACGTTTGTTCATCTGTACCATCACATAAAACTTTCCTTGGTATTTGAGCAAGTTGAGTGTGTGGTGAGGAAAAAAAGACCAGTTGAGGGTAGCAATGTTAGATAGCGTGTAACTGAACAGTCCTGTAACCGCATCAAATTTGAGCGGTTGCATGACTGTTCAGTAGTCACTAGCGGTGGGCCCAGAAGTCAGTGCGCTTCAACCCCACTCCTAGGGAGCCCCCTACAACAAGGGGAACCAGTTTCCTCACAGACCAGCTCCTACCTGCTGCCCCTGTATCGGAGGCAGCAGTGTGGGGTGGCAGAAGCATCTGTCTGGGAGGGTGTGAGCTCCCCATGGACAGTGGCTGCTCGGGTCTGCTGCCGACAAAGTCTGCTTCATAGCAGCATCCTCTGCCCTCCCCACATGCTGCTGCAGCACTGGGAAACTGGGTGCTGGGGGAACCAGCTTTTGAACCCCAGGCTCACCATGGGCAGAAGCTGCTTCGTTGCAGCCCCCCCGACTCTGCTAGAGCATCAGCATGTGTGTATGGGGGGAAGGGAGACAGGCAGCACTGCAAAGCTGGCTTCCCCCTTCCCACCAGCACTGGCTCCTACTTAAAGCCGACTCCCCATGAGCATTGGATGCAGCTCCCTCCCCAACTCCCCTTGCTGCCTCTGTATCCGAGGCAGCAAGAGGTGAGGTGGAGTGCATGTAGTCCCCCACTTATCAGTAGCCCAAGCTTCCCATTTAATCATGTAGTCATCTACATGTTGACATCCCTAGTTGAGGGGAGAGATGCTTTTCCCATCTATACGCTTATTTGTAGAAGAGATAAGAATATAAGAACAGCCATACTGGTTCGGACCAAAGGTCCTTCTAGCTCAGCATTCTGTAGCCTGACAGCGACCTATGCCAGGTGCCCCATAGGGAATGAATAGAACAGGTAGTCAAGTGATTCATTCCCAGCTTCTGGCAAAGAGGGCTAGGGACTCCATCACTGCCCTTCCTGGCCTATTAGCCATCAAATGACCTATCTTCAATCAATTTATCTAGCTCTTTTTTTTTTTTTTTTCTCTGAGTCCCGTTACAGTCTTGGGCTTCACAACATCCTCTGGCATAGGAATGTTAACGAGTAGTCGGCTGGAGTATCGAGTACTTGCTTCACTCCCTTGCTGACTCTGAGGCAGCAAAGGTGATGCGGGGGGGCAGGAGATGGTGCTGGGGGGAGCATTGTTCCTCCCCCAGCACCATCTCTTTAGTGCCATCTGCCCCCCTCTGTGCTGCTGCCTCTATTGGAGGCAGAGATGGGAGGTGGAGATAGGGGAGGCTACTGTAAAGCAGCCTCTGCCCGCAGCGGGACCAAGGCTCCCTGTGGGCAGAGGCTGGGCCTGGCACAACCGTAGTCCCTGTTCACGGTGGCCTGGGCTGGCCACCTCAAGCAGGGGCTGCTGGACTCCTGGCTCACGCTGGTCTGGGATGCTGTGCCTCTCAATTTTAAATGTAGTAAGAGCCCAGCAGCTCTTACTAAATATAAAATGAAGAACTGCAGCATGGGTGGCTCCTGGAGCCAGCAGGAGCAGGAACTAGAGCTACCCCCGCTGTGGCTATGCAGAGGGGTCCTTATCGACTAATTGTTTAGTCAATACAAATTGTATCAAGTACACATTTAGCCAGATAACCTCAATTTAACATACTTACTCTGGCAAGGAGTTCCACCGGTTGATTGTGTTGTATGAAGAAATACTTCCTTTTGTTTGTTTTAAATCTGTTGCTTATTCATTTTTCAGTTGGTGCCCCCCAGTTCCTGTGTTATGGGAAAGAGAGTAAATTACTTTTCTTTCTTCTCTTTTTCCACACCAGTCACGATTTTATAGACCTTGATCGTATTTCTCTCCTCCTCCTCCCCCCCCAGTTGTTTCTTTTCCAAGCTGAAAAGTCCAAGTCTTATTAATCTCTCCTCATACAGCTGTTGTTCCACACTTCCAATCATTTTCGCTGCTCCTTTCTGGACTTTTTCAATGCCAAGATAACTTTTTTGAGACAAAGTATCCACATCTGCATGCAGTAGGCATAGCATGGATTTAGATGTACTTTCTTATTCTCTATCCCTTTTTAAATGATTCCTAACATTGTTTGCTTTTTTGACTGTCACTGCACATTAAGTGGATGTTTTCAGACAACACTGCAGTGGGTAATGGAAAGGCATCTATGTGAGAAGCATGCAGTGGATGGTAGTCTTTGCTGAAGAAATTGCCATAAAATGTTGTTTGTTATGAAGGGCCTGATGTTTGGTTCTATAACTAAGATTGACCAGGATTTTGCTTTTGTTTGTGTTTTTTGTGAATCACGTGGCTCTAACCACATATACTGTAAATTAGCGCATATAACCTGTGGGCTATATACGTTTTTACAAACCCCGCCCTCCCCCCTGCGTGGTATACTTGTCCATGGGGTAATACTCGTGCGTGGGTTATATGTGCTAATTTACGGTAGGTCTTTAGCTTATTGGACTTGACAAGTAAAGAAACCACAGCATCAATATATTTTTAATTAATCAGTGTTTACTACAGGAACACACATTTTTAAATGCCAGTGGCTTCAGAAATCATATATGCTCCTTTACATGCTCATTGAATGACAAATTTTGTGACTCAGAACTGAAATCTCTTAATACATTTAGAATACAAAGTTAGAAAATATCCCTAGTGATCATGTAAATTTTTCTCAGTTGGTTTTTTTTTTTTTTTTTTTTTGGACTGACATCAGATGAGCATTATCTTAGTCATTCCTTGTACCATTTTTCTAGAGCAACAAACAGCTTGCCTCATCTTAAGAACCATTTCACAGGACTCAGCTGAATTTCCGATTGCTAGGATAGAAAGGAAGTAGGAGACAGGATACAAAAAAACCTCTGAGTGTTTTGTGTGAGGACTTTTTGAGCTGGAAGGGAAGTTTTGGTACTACTTTGTCTTGTGGAAAACTCAATAGTTGGAAATGTTACTTTTGTAACTGAAAGGGGTAAGGAGAATCTTTTTCTCATAGAACTGAATTATAAATCACAAATGCAAGATGTGCGAAAATTCTATGCCTCTATCACATTCAAGGGATCAAGTCTTATTTTGTATTTATTTTTCACTAAGCTAATTTTGCTATGTCAGAAATATGCCTATTGAAAAAAGACTATCCGGTCTTGACTCTCTCTTTCTTGTGAAAGAACCCTCTGAGACTAAAGAAACATCACAGCTGAAACCTGGGCAACTGAAAGAGTCTGTTTAACTCTTGCTGCTTTATCTGTTGAAGTCAAATTTTTGGCAAGTGTGAGAACAAGAGATAGAACAAGAGAGATTTTCTGTGAGAGAAACCACATCTGTTTCTTCTGTTAGGGGCTAAAAAACCTCAATTCCATTTTCTCCCCAAAAAATCTTTACACATTTTAAGATTAAAAAATAAATACCCAAGCCTTTATGGAGGAGGTGATGTGCATAGAAGCATAAGTCACATTTTTTTTCCATAGGCTACCTTGTATGATAACACATTAGTGCTAGTGCCAAGTGTTGGATTAACAAT